AAAATTTTGAAAAAAAAACTCTTTTCTTAAAGAAAATTAAAAAAATCGTTTTTCTCATGTGGTCACTCCTATTTTTTTGTGGACAACTGTATGTATGTATATAGATAAGGCATATGTGTGTAAAGGCACGAACTTTGGCAATGGGAAAGTTTGGCATAATTTACGGCTGTCTGTGTGCACTTTTTATTGCACTTCACTTCATTTCAAACAGTGAGGCGAAATATTTTATTGCAAAGTGATTTGTTATTATAATTCAAGCATAAATATTTTACTGTGTGCTTATTTGCCTATTTTGATCCACTATGAATCAAAAAAGTAATCACTTGGCCGACCTTTTATTCAATTTGGGTGTCTTATTTAGTTTTCAGATCATGGCTTTCTTGTTGGAAAATCCTTTATAAGACCTTTTCGTCACATCGGCAAAAGTGTTTCGGTTAGGTTTAAAAGTTTCGCTTTAAAATCTGATAAACACTTATAAACAGATAATCTCTGGTTGCGCTTTTGTTAATTAACCGGTTATATAAGAGTAAGTTAAATAAACTTGTAGGGTAGTCGAAAAAGTCTTTTCGTATTTCTAATCAAACTTCAACTTATTTTTATTTATAATGCACTTTAATGAACCAAATATCATATGCACCATTTTGGTCGCCCAGTTTTTGACATTTTTTCGGGGGAGACCTTATTCCATCAGTATAAGAGTTTTCTGGTTTCTCGGCGAAAAACTGCGACTAGTAATTTTCACAGGCTTCTCTTGAAGCCAACTTTACTCCATTAAGAGAGTTCTGCATTGAGTAAAACAAATGGTAGTTCGTTGGTGCAAGGTCAGGGCTGTATGGTGGATGCATCAAAACTTTAAAGCCAAGCTCTTCCAGTTTTTACCGAGTCATCAAAGATGTGTGTGATTTAGCGTTGTCCTAATAGAAGACGAAACACTTTCTGTTGATCAGTTCTGGTCGATTTTATGGATTGCTTGCTTAAATCTCATCAGTAGTTGACAGTAAAATGTAGAATCAATCGTTCGACCAGGCTGAAGCAGCTCATAGTTCATGATTCCTTTCCAATCCCACCAAACACTCAGAATAACTTTTCAAGGCGGCAATTCTGGCTTTGCGACCATTTGTTGAGCTCACCACGCTTGGACCATAATCTTTTTCGTACATTGATGTCATGTTTGATCTACTTTTCTTCTCCTGTTACCATTCGCTTCAGAAATGATTCCATTTCATTTCGTTTCAGCAAGAAATCGCAGATGTTAATTCGGTCCATTAAATTTTTCACAATTCATGTGGTACCCAGTTGCTTTTTGTAGCCATCCTTTTTTAAATGGTTCAAAACCGTTTGATGATGAATGTTAAGTTCCTTAGTAATGTCATGGCTCCTTATGTGACGGCTCTGGTCAATATTTTCCAAAATTTCATCGAACTTTTCAACGATAGATCGAACAAGGTGCATCTTTCACATCAAAATTTCCTGAACGGCAGCGAGCGAACCAGCTACACGAACTGACACAGCATCTTCTCCGTAAACTTCACAAATTTCATTGATGGCTTGCGTGGCTTTCTTTCTTTTTTATACAAAAATTTCAAAATAAAGCGAATTTCTTCATTATTTTCACTAATTTTGGACAGTGGTAACTTTTTTTCAACTTCTCCGCATTTAATTATTTATTTATTTTTTAAATGAAGCTTAAGATCTCACCTTTCCAACATTATATAGTATGACACAATGAGCACTGGAGATATACGACTGCAACGCCATCTATGATAAAATACGAAAAGACTTTTTCGACTACCCAATATTTTTTTTTTCGCTGTTAATTTTCCATTCTTGGAGTTGAAAATTTTTTTCAGCTTTCTTAATTATTCGTTTGAACTGAATATTTTCATATTCTAATAATATGTCATTATTAAAGAAAACTTATTAATTTGCAATATATTTTATGTTTTCACATTTCCATGGCAACATCTGGATTTAGGAACGAATAATAAACATATCTTCATCGATGCGGATATATGTACTGATAATTGATATTATATACTCATAATTGATATTCAGAGTTAAAATTTCTTAGGTGAGCCAGCTAATAATAGAACTTTATCGCCTATATTCCATACAAATTCAGACTGACTTTCGGATATAAAGTGTTATCTTTAAACACATGTATACATATGTGTTGTGTCGCGGCTATTTTAAGAACTCAGACACACAATTGCTCAAACTCTTTATAATTTTTTTTTTGCTGCCAGCCCGATACCGATATACTGTATATTGTCTTGTACATTGGTCTGGCATGTTTTAAAATTAACTCAATATAATATATGGCTCTTTATGATATCAACCAAAAAAAATAAAATAATTGGTTAAATGTATTGTAAACATTTAAAATTCATGTCATTTATGACCTGCTTTAAAAATGTACGTGATGATACCATCTACTTATGTACTTACCCATATGAGCGTCTAGGCTGACTCTCATATGCCGATGCATTTGTGCCATATAGCACTGAAAATCACACAAAGAAATTCGAAGAAAATTACTTTTACGTACAAAAATAATTAATCACTGCGGTTGTTGTTGGTGAAATGTTTTATTAGCGCTAAGATAACATGCTAACTCGTTGCAGTTGAATGAACCCATGCTATATGCACACATTAGCAACCTTATACAACACAAACAAACACATAAATGTGGAAGCATCAAAGTACTTGTTTGTATAGATAAAAGTACTCAATAGCAACGCCAATCAACAGTTGAGTGCAAAATAAATAAGTCAACAAAATCGTGACAACGCATTGCTTGAAATATACCACTGTATTAGTGTGAACTCAGGTCTAACAGCCGTTTTGAACGTTGATATTCTGGCCACCGATACTTTTCTCCGCTGACCTTCTAACTTTTCACTGCGACGAGCGGATTTTTTGCCATGGTTAATAGTGCCACTTATGCCTGAGTGAAATGTTGCCGCGACTTGTTGCATTGACCGACGAAAGCTGACTGAAAGCACAAACCGCAAAATAGCGGCAAACGCTTTCCCGGTGTGGCATAAAAAGACGCAAAAATAAAATTAAACAAATATTGGAACATTTATGGCTGCCAAGCGGGCAAGTGATGATGATTGTGGTACCATATTGTGGTAGCAGTGAAGCAGCTGGCGGACAAGCTAAAGAAAGCGAGCAAGAATCGTTCTTGCATGACAAGTTTACATTACGCATATCATGCCAACCACGCAGTGAAATCAAGTAGTTGACAACTACTTAACAAGTAGTGTGTAATGTAAGGTAAACTCATTTTTACTTTTACCAAAGGTCGAAAGGACGATCTTAATCGTCACCACAAAAGTTTTACACTGATGGAATAATGTCTCTAGCAGAAATATGGCAAAAAGTGGTCGACCAAAGTGGTACATATGGTATTTGGTTCATTAAAGTATATTATAAATGTAAAAAAAGCAGTTGAAATTTGATTGGAAATGCGAAAAGACTTTTTCGACAAAGCAAAAAAGTTCAATTATGGAGCTAAAAAAGAAGGAAGGGAAGAATATTAGTATATAAATTACGATTTTTGATTTTAATAATTTAATGTTATAAGCATTTTATAATTTTTTACAAGACTGGTCTCCTTCGGACTGGTTCATATTCAGACCGTAGGCTTATTTGTAAATTAGTGTTTTCTCTGAGTTGGGCGGGAATCATGTTGTAATGCTGTAAAGGTTTTTTTGTTCTGTACGAAAGCGAACTAGTTTGCATTTATGGTAATTTCACCAAATGTGTAGTAGTTCATGAAGATATCAAAAAATGCAAAAACAAGTTTAATCCACATATTTTTTATAGTTCACATATACTACTCGTGACGTGCGTTCTTTTTACGTATTACGTATTATATATTACTCGTGACGTACGCACATTTTGTACCACTTCTGAATTCGAAACTTTAAAAAAATAACAAGAACAAGAAAAAACGTTAGCTTCAGTTGCACCGAAGCTAAATACCCTTCACAGGTGCATTTCTGTTAGTAATTATGTGTTCAGTTTGTATGGAAGCTATACGCTATAGTAATCCGATCTGAAAATTTTTTTCGGAGATTATATTATTACCTTAAGCAGTAATCCAAGTCAAATTTCGTGAAGATACCACGTTAAATGCGAAAGTTTTCCATACTTGAACCTGATTCCGATTGTTCAGTTTATATGGCAGCTATATGTTATAGTTAACCKATCTGAACAATTTTTTCAGAGATTACATTATTGTCTTAGAAAATAATCTATACCAAATTTTGCGAATATATCTTATTAAATGCAAAAGTTTTCCATACCAGCACTAGATTCCGATCGTTCAGTTTATATGGTTTATATAGTGGTCCGATATCGGCAGTTCCGACAAATGAGTAGCTTCTTGAAGAGAAAATGGTGTTTGTGCAAAATTTCAAAACGATATCTTAAAAACTGAGGGACTAGTTCGTATATATACACACAGACGGACAGACGGGCATACAGACAGACGGACATGGCTAAATCGAATCAGCTCAACATACTGATCATTTATATATATACTTTATAATAATCCATACCAAATTTCTTGAAGATATATTGTCAAACTAAAAAGCTCTTCATACAATCACATTCTTCTATGCGTTCAGTTCATATGGCGCATATATGGTATAATGATCCGATATCGTCGTATTGGACCAATCAGCAGCTTCTTGTTTAGAAAATAACATGTGCAAAATTTAAGATCGATTTCAGAAAATTTGAGGGTCTATCTCAACCATATACAGATAAACGTGATTGAATCGCAGAAGGGCTAAGAAATCGAAAGGGATTTGCCGTTTTCACATTCATCTATATATACACGAACAAGACCTTCAGTTTTTCAGATATCGATTTGAAATTCGAAATTGATTTGTTGAAACCGACAACTGGAAAGTGAAAACACATACTTACATACATATATATGTACCTACATATGTTTAAAAGAGCATACTTATGTGAATGCCTATAAATTCAACTTATAGAGCGAATGATGGTTTACCATCCACAGATAATTAAAATCTACAAACATACATCTATAATTAGCCATTTTCCTGTTTGACCAGCACAAACCAGAAGTTGAAAGACAGGAATTGCACATCTTCGCAGTGTTCTTAATCTTTGTTTTTGCCATTTTCTGTTAAGGCCACTACTTAAGAACTGTTTGTCTGACCACTTTTCAGAATAATCTAGCTAAATAGGTGAGCTGCACTAAAATTAATTGGATTTTTTTTATCAAGTCAAACCAGCAATTGTGCAGCGCCATAAAAGGTGAATGGGCAAAGCCTGTTAAAGCACTAGAAATAATGGAGCGCGCGAAACTAGCAAATTATAGCGAAGAAAGAATATATGTATGTACATATAAGAAACAATTATGTCTTTATATGTACATATTCATATATGTATGTATAAGCTGTAGAGGTGGCTTCAAAGCATTTCGAAGAGGGGTCACTTTTAGATTTTTTTCGTGAGATATCTTGGGTGACTATTTAAAAGCTAAATTTGATACTTGGTGATTTTGATTGTTTGTTTTTTAATATTCCATACATATCTTCGAATCGCCATGTATTTGAGGGTGGCGAATCAAACAAGCAAGTGCTATAAATGACATAAACTGGCATAATCATAGAGAGATTGAATTGAAGGAGATTTGCACACTTCAGTGAGGTATCACATACTATTCTTTAGTTGAACTCATATTTTTTGTGCTTTCATTAGTAAACTGTTTCACAATCTCGCAAAGCTTAAACAAAGCGCGCTGAAAAGTGGCGTATCGAAGACAGTTTCGAGTGCAGTTTTCTTTTTCGTTTTTTTCCACTGATAAGTAAAGTTATTGCGCATGCATTTATATTTCACAAAGAACAAAATACGCACTAAATAATATCTATGGAGCAATGATCTTCACTCAATATCAAAATATATTATATGTATGCTAATGGAATCCGTACTGTGTACGTAGAGGGTGACTTCTGTATTAACTGAATATGTAAACGCACTGTTGATGGATTACTATATATTAAGTAAATATGTATGTTATTTTGTTGAACATATATATATATATATATATGTGTGTGTATGTGTGTATATTTACTCAGCTATAACAGCGTATTTCTGCGCTGCGTAGAAGTTGCGAAGATAAAATTTCGTTACTTTGTGACTTTGCAGATTTTGCATGCTTATGTATAAGCCACTTCATCTACTAGGGTCGCCTAAATTTTTTCAGAAACATACCAGCAGTAAATTTAGAATAAATAAATACACTCACATATTGGCTGATATATGCGATAAAAAGCCGACTGGAACTTCGAAAATATTTCTTTTAAGTATATGGGGGCTAAGTGATGCATTGACCCGATTTAACCTATTTGTAGCACACAGACGTACTACTATCAGGAAAGGATTTTCACTGAATTTCAATATATCTCACACACAGACGAATAGTTCCAGCAAAAAGTCAAATATAGGTATAAAATTTTGGTTCCTAGGGGCTTGAACAGTTTTGGTTTGATTTGCAAAATTTTTAGTGCCCAAATTTTTCTCAAAATTTTTAGCTCACAGGTGCCCCGTGCTACTGAAATACTCCGACTATTCTAGCCTAGAAATGCTACTTAACGACATTTTTTAAAGCCCAATAAAAAAAACTAAGAACATTTTTACTAACCAATTCTTTATCACTTATTTTAGGAATACAAAAAAAAAAAAAAAATTGTGATAATTTGATTAACTGCGGCGTGATGGCGTGACGGGGGCTGAAAATAAGGGTGCGCCCTTCCTGACACGATTCCAACACTTTGGATGCTATCGTCTGAAGTAGGCTATATAATTTTTTTTTTCAGTAAATGGCGACTGTTTGAATTTTTTGCCCGTTTTTTTGGCAAAGATCAAAATTTTTTAAAAATTAGAAAAATCAAAATTTTTTAATAATTCTAGTTCCAACCATAGAGAGATATATAAAGGAGGTCCACACCAAATTTCAAGCTAATCGGTTCATTAGAAATTGAGAAATCATGTCAGAAGTGTTGAAAATAGTAGTTTCGAGAAAAACGCGATTAAAGATTTGAGTCCAACTGTAGGCTTACTTATTTACTTACTTACACTTCGTTAATTGGCCATTCCTGCAGAGCCGGTTTGCACGCTGCGTCACTAAAATAGCTATAAGTCGGCAAATAATAGGAATTTTAAAAATTCCTTTGGAAAATATATTATATTCTTAAAGGTTCAGTCTTTAAGAATATGCAAAAAAAAATCGATTTTTTCAAAATTCTAGACTACAATACCTCCTTAATTCAAAAGAACGCATATTGCCGTATTGTGTTACTTTAGGAATAAAGAAGTATCCAGAAACCTATGTATGTATGTATGTGTGCAAATACAGTAATACAATACCAAGTCAGGTTATGCACCGGGGAATTGTTAATACTTTGAGTTCAGTGTCTGGTGTCTGGACTGTTTACCGTGTTTCAACTTCTGCTGGAATGCCTTTTCTTCACATATGCACACCACATGCACACAAACATACTAAATTGCAAGAGAAGGTGCACTTGTATGTCTCCCGAAACCAGTTCAGACTTGATATTCGCACTGTGGTGCGATATCTTCTTTGCTTTAGCCGCCTTGCCTCTGCAAATGAGTGCAAGCGCACATATACAAACACATCTAGGCATTGACGAGTGGTTGTATGCGTGCGCTGTAGCACACGAACCAAGCCGTTTGTATCCACAACGTCCATGACAGTGGCCGAAGTTTCGGCTGTTTGTTGTGTTTTTACATTTCGTTTGACTTTTACCGCGGCGCATGTAAACAATTCCTGACCTACGCCAATATTTTGCCTGCTAGCCAAAATCAACTTTACACACATGCGCGCATACTCGCACACAACAGCGGTCAGCGAAAAGACGAAACTTGAACTCCATGGCAAGAGTACGCTTGTGTGTATACGTGTATGTGTGTGTGTATTTATATAGATATGC